ACAAATATGCATCTGGGTAGGGCAGACCAGGTTAACCTAGCATACGGAGACACATCCTTTAACCAAGTGCGTCAATATAGCAGCCAAGTCACTAGCATTCTCACACAGAAATCTCAGCAATGATCTCCATGTCAAATTCATGACAGGTCTCCTCTAAACCCAACTAATTCCAGGTATTTTAAGGACACCGTTCCCACTTTAATTATTAATCTCAGTGCAGAGGGTGGGTCTGTGTGTGGCAATCAAAATATGCGGTTGTATATTTCTGGTATTCTTCCAGATGAAGAAATACTACAAACTATAGGCCATTGCTACACCATTTAAAGTGACACTGTAGCTAAAAGGTATAAAGCTAGATTCCTCCACTCTATCGTGTAGTGATGGAGGAGCCAGTGGAACCAACCAGAGTGCTTGGAGAGGAACTAAAGCTGGCAGTACACAGTTTCATTCAGCCAGTGAGAGGAAAAGAGGAAAAAAAACTAACAGATTCCTCCATCCACAAAAACAATGTTTTCCAACATGTGCTTTCAACAGAAGTTAATCAAAATAATTGATTTCGAACAATGGGGTTACTGGCACTCACTGATAGAAGCTTAGCCGGTCCCTGCTGATCAGTGTATAGCCAGCTTAGAGGCAGTTCACAAATTGGATGCATCCAAATCACGACATGTAAAAGAAGATTGGTTCCTATTGTGCCTGTTTACATACAGTATATGCAGTGCAACCAGAGTGCGGATTCAATGCGAACTGAAAGAGAGCCCTGTCAGTTTTCTGAGCAATGCGGTCTGGCTCAGGTGTGAATTCAGGCTCATTGACTTGTATGGGAACGCACATGTCATCAGTTGTGAACAGGATAAAATCATGACCTGATCCAAACCTCTCCTGAACCTGATCTAAACCTGACCTGAACGCAACTACTTTGTCAATCAGCTGTGAAAATGGAGCTTCAATTCGCACCGCAAATGTGTGAATCCACACTTAAGCATCCGACACTCCAGGAACTGTGTCGGATGAAGAGGCTTTTGCTGGACATAGGGCTAAACATTCAGCACTCAGGTTTATTCTCTAAACCTTCACAAAAGGTAAGAGTTCATGTACAGGGCGCTTTAAAAAAGCAATTTCTATGCTAAGCATAATTTCCCAATGCTTTCTTCCACCAAAGGAGTTGCACCTGGCACATACAGCCTGCCATAAGAGTGAATGGCTGTACATAACTGTGCTGCAGAAAAAAAACACCAATGCTTCTTTGTATCAGCGTTCGCCTGCTACATGCACAACCAATGTATTTTTTTAATGCGAAACCTGCATGTCGGAGCTACAATTGTGGGTAAACACTGCTGAATTGGGGTTTAAAAAGACCAAGCCTGTGTACAGCCATTCAATTGTAAGGTAAGCTGCAGCTCCCCAGGCACAGGAAAGTACCGGGAAATTATGCAAAGCTTGCATGAACCCTAAAGGCTGACTGTCACCACACCTCACTTTAAACTCTCTTCTACCATTCATCATAGAAAAGATACCATACCATAACCTAAAAAAAAAAAAAAAAAAAAAAAAGAGCTCCTTTTTTAAAGCTCAACTCTGGGCAGAAATAAAACTATGCATTACTGTGAGGCTGTGTCTGCACTGCAAGAGGTTAGATCATTTCCATTTCCAAGGGGGAGGAGAATCATTTTACTTGCCTGATCCTCCATTCCCCCGGCAGGTGATGCTCCCCCACACTCCAGCGGTGGTCTATCCCTCGGTGACTTCACCTTCAGACTCTCGCTCTGGTCTTGATGACATCAGGACTGTAGACTGCAAGTGTGCAGGAGCTGCAGGGATCAGTGGAGGATCAGGTAAGTAAATCCCTTTTTATTGTTCCCCTAGGCAACCTTTAAACAATCAATTACCATTGCCATTTATAACAAATGGAACAGCACTCTGGTCACTACAAATCGATACATTTTATTTGCCAGAAGCTGGGGTCGCCAAAACCACGATTGAAAAAACAGGCACACAAATTCGAGTAATTCATCCCCCATATAGTACCCCCATTCTCCCCTCAATCATATAGTATTATCCACTACAGTAATTCATCCCCCATATAGTAATTCATCCCATATAGTAATTCATCCCCCACATCCCCCAAGAGATGTAATTCCGAGACTGTGATCCCCCTATTCTTCCCCCAGAGATCTGAAAGAATCCTGCTATCATCCCCCCGATCATATTAAGGTCCCTTGCACATAGGACTGTAATTCATCCCCACTGCTGTGCGTACTCCTCTGCATTTTTGTGTCCCGCGCCCGGTAGGGGGACAGATGTATAATTCAGCCACGTTGCCTGCATCTGCGGCTTGCCGACCACCTGGTGGGCAGTGTGCTCCGGAGCCGCAGCAAAGATGAAAAAGAGCCGCATTCTATGTTGGCAGGTGTGGCTGGATGGGGTTGAATGTGTTTTGGGCCCTATGTGTTCAATGACTAATGCCTTGAAAACAGTGAACCTGTGCAAGACTGGCCTT